TATGTGTGTGTATGTGTTTGTATATATGGGTGTCTGTGTATACATGTGTGTATATGTGTATGATTGTGCGAATGTGTGTGTATATGTTTGCTTGTATGTGTGTGTGTATATATGTGTATGTGTGTATCTGTGTGTGTGCTTGCGTGTGTGTATATGGGTGTGTGTATGGGTGTGTGTATATGTGTATGGGTGTGTGTATATGTGCATGTGTATATATGTGTGTGCGTGTATGTGCATGTGTATGTGTGTGTGTGTATGTGTGTATATGTGTGTGTGTATGTGTGTGTGTATGGATGTGTGTGTGTGGGAGGGTGTGTGGGAGGGTGTGTGGGTGTGTGTATGTGGGTGTGTATATGTGTATGTGTGTATGTGTGTATATGCATGTATGCGTATAAGTGTGTGTGTATGTGTGTGTGTGTATGGGTGTGTGTGTATAGGTGTGTGTGTGGGAGGGTGTGTGGGTATGGGTATGTGGGTGTGTATATAGGGGTGTGTGTATGGGTGTATGTTATGTGCGTGTTTCTGTATGTGTATGGGCATGTATGTGTGTGTGTATATATGGGTGTGTGTGTATCTGTATGTGTATTTGTATGTATGTGTGTGTATGGATGTGTGTGTGTATATATATGGGCGTGTATGTGTGTATATGTTTGGAAATACTTTTTGATTTGATTTGATTTATTATTGTCACATGTACCTAGGTACAGTGAAAAGTGTTGTTTTGCATGCAGTACAGGCAGATCATACCATACAAAGTGCATTAGCGTAGTAGAATAGAGCGAAGAAAATAATTTTACAGCTGCAGAGCTGGTCAAAGAGTGAGATCAGCATTAAATTGTGTGTAGGAACAAATTACTGAAGATGCTGGAATCTGTACTGAAAACAACATCCATGGAGAGAGAGCAAGCTAACGTTTTGAGTCTACATAACTCTTCAGCAGAGCTGAAGTGAAGTGTGGAGGGGACAGCATTTATGCTACAGTTTGGGGGGGGTTCAGGAGTAGTGGGTGCAGGGTGCTGATGCAGAAAGGGTGTTGATAGTTCAGACTAAGTGACCAGAATGTGAGAATGGCAGAATAATGATGTGTCTCTTCCCAGACCTGAAAGGACAATAACGGGAATGGGAGGTGGTGAGGACATAATAACATGGTAAAAGAAAGGGAAGAAATTGTTCACAATTTGAAGGTGTTGAACTCGATATTAAGTCCAGAAAGCTGTAAAGTGCCTAGTGTGAAGATGAGATGTTGTTCTTCTAGTTTGTGGTGTGATTCACTGGAACACTGCAGCATGTCAAGAATAGACATGTGGGCATTTAAATTGTGGGCGTGTGTCAACTTGTGTGTGTGTGTTTATGTGTGTGTGCGTTTATGTGTGTGTGCATGTTTGTGTGTGTGTGTGTATGTGCATGTGTATGCGTGTTTATGTGTGTGTGTGTGTTTATGTGTGTATGTGTGCGTGTTTTTATGTGTGTGTGTGTTTATGTGCATGTGTGTGCGTGTTTTTCGCGTGTGCGTGTTTATGTATGTGTGCATGTTTATGTGTGTGTGTGCGTGTTTATGTGTGTGTGTGTGTGTTTATGTGTGTGCGTGTTTATGTGCCTGTGTGTGCGTGTTTACGTGTGTGTGTGTGTGCTTATGTGTCTTTGTTCGCGTGTGTGTGTGTGTATGTGCTCATGTGTGTGTGTGTGTGTGTCAGTGTTTCTGTTTAGTCTATGTGTGTGCGTGCATATGTGTATGTGGGCGTGTGGGTGTGGGGATGGCCCAGCAGAGGCAGAGAGGATGCAGTCTGGATGAATGGGTGTGTGTATATGTGTGTGTGTATATGTGTGCGTGTATGTGTGTGTGTGTATGTTTATGTGTGTATGTGTGTGTGTGTGTGTGTATGTGTGTATATGTATGTGTGTGTGTGTGTGTGTGTGTATATGTGTGTATATGTGTGTGGCGTTTGAGCACAATGTTTAGGGGCCGGGGCTGGAGTGGGGGTGCAGTTGGGGAATGCTATCTTCTTGGAAGTGGAGGGGGGAGTTGTCAGGGATGCCTCTGATGGACACAGAAGACCACGAAACAGGGGTACCACCCTCTCCCTCCCAATAGCAGCCTGCCGGTCTGCCCATTTTGCCCCTGAATTGGCAGAAGTGCAACAAGGCTCTCCAGTGGTGAATAATTAGTCATTGCAGTTCCTCAAAGGCTGTGTGCCAACTTTGCCACTCTGTAATGTGAAATCCTGGAGAACAACAGCCAACCATTATGTTTTACTAGCAAACACTGCCTTCAAATATGCTGCTGAGAGGCTTTTTAGTATAAAAGCAAAGGAGTTATATTAAATCTTTATAAAATGCTGGGTTAAGCTTCAATTAGAACATTGTCGTCAATTTTAGACCCCACACTTTTGCACTGCAGGGTGCAGAACAAACAGAATGCAACAGTACCAGGAATAAGAGATTCCAATTACATGGACAGACTGGAGAAGCTGGTGATGTTCTTTAGATGAGACAGCCATGGAAGTTTTGATTTATGTATTTAAAATTGTGAACAGCTTCAATAAATAAAAACAGCAACTGTTTCCAGTGGTAGACTGACAGGTAACAAGAGAAACACAAACTTAACATCATTGGCAAAAGAATCAGAGAGAATGTGAGAAATAAAAAGCTAAACATGTAAAATGATCTGGAATCGACTGCCTGCAACCATTGTAAAAGTAGATCTAATAACTTTCGAAAAGAAGTTGGATAAATATTTGAGTAGGGAAACAATTGCAAAGCCAAAGGCAACAGGCTGGGGAGTGGGACGAATGGGATAGTTTTTCCGCATGGGCCTGATGGGCCAAATGGCCTGCTTGTGTTGTACAATCGTACTGTACATTAACCAGCGTTAGTAATTCCCACTTTACTGCAATAATGCATGATAATCTAATTTCAGACAAAATTGTATCTCCGTCCCAGGAGATAACTGCAGCAGTTCCTCAAGGTAGTGTCCTGGGCCCAACCATCTGCAGCTGCTTCATCAATGACCTTCCCTCCATCATAAGGTCAGAACGGGGGATGATTGCACAATGTTCAGCATCATTTGCAAGCCCTCAGATCCTGAAGCAGTCCACGCCCAAATGAAGTAAGACCCAGACAATAGCCAGGCTTGGGCTGATGAGTGGTAAATTACATTAGAGCCCTACAAATGCCAAACAATACACACCTCCATACACCAAGACTCCCCAAAATCTATCCACCATCAGCAAGCCAGGAATCAGGAGCGTGATGGAATATTTGCCACTTACATGGGTGGGTGCAGCTCCAACACTCAAAAAGAATGACACTATCTAGGACAAAGCACCCTGCTTGATTTGGACCCCATCCACTACCTTCAGTATTCACTCCAATCACTACCGATGGATAGATGCCGCACTGCACAGTTCACTGCAATAATTTGCCAAGTCTCCTTTCATAGCACCTTCCAAACTGCGAATTCTCCCACCTCAAAGAACAAGGGCAGCAGATGCGGTGGAACATCACCTGCAAGATCCCACCGAGCTCCGTACCACCGACCATTCTGACTTGGAACTATACTGCTGTTCCCTTAGTGTCACTGAGTCAGTATCATGGAACCCCCACCCTAACAGCACTGTGGGTGTCCCTACTGTCCACTTCTTCCAACCCTCTCCATTGCTCCATGGACTGCAGAGGTTCAAGAGGACAGCTCCCCCAGGCCATGGCTGGGCCAGGGGTACCAGACAGCAGAGGTGGTGCACCTGCAGTGGTGGGCAGGGACTCAGGGCATCTCAGTGCTGGTAGACTGACAGCGGTGAGGACTCATAGCAGAAGCGGGGGAGTGATCTGAACGTTTCCTTTTCCTTTGGCTGCTTCTTTTGTTTCTGTTTTTGTTTTTAGTCCTGTCTTTTGAATACTAAGATGGCACGGGATAATGGCCACTTTGTACGCTGTATTCCTGTACTCGGGTACACTTGGCAACAAAATCTAAATCTAACCTTCTGATGGGTCATTAGGACTGAGCTGATCTAAGCAGATATGCGCGCAGCCAGTGAAAGAATTTTTAAAAATTGCTTTGCAGTGTTAAATTTGAAAGCATTTCATTTGCAGACCAACCCAATTCCTGAGTTTGATGATGTGCCAGTAAAAGTAGCCGATTTATAGCCAGGTGGAGCCAAGGCATGGACAAGCAGCTCAAAGCAATTCAGACTCCAAACCTTTTCTGATGAAGGGTCTAGGCCCGAAGCGTCAGCCTCTCTGCTCCTATGATGCTGCTTGGCCTGCTGTGTTCATCCAGCCCTGCACCTTGTTGTCTCGGATTCTCCAGCATCTGCAGTTCCTACTATCTCTTTATGCCCCTTTGTGTTTTCTTCATTCTCTCATGGCATGTAAATGTTGCTGTCTGGGCTAGTATTCATTGTCTGTCCCTAAACTGCCCTTGAGAAGGTGCTGGTGAGCTACCTTCATGAATCACTGCAGTCCATGTGCTGTAGGCAGATCCTCTTGGGGATGGAATACCAGGATTTTGTCCCAGTGAAGGAACAGTGATATATTTCCAAGTCAGGAAGGCTTTGTTATGTTTGATACAGCTGGCTTGCTAGGCCATTTTCAGAGGGCAGTTGAGAGTCAGCCACAGTGCTGTGGGTCTGGAGTCACATGTAGACTGGACCAAGTGTTGAAGGCAGATTTCCTTCCCTGAATATTATTAGTCAAACAGATGTTCCTTCCCAACCCTCTCCCCCTCAGCCTGTCCGCAACCATCGACACTGTTTTCATGGTCATTAGATTCTTAATTCCAGATTTCTTTTTATGGAATTCAAATTCCACCATCTTACCAAAACCCAGAGCATTACATGAGTTTCTGGATTAGTCATGCAGTGATAATACTACTGGCCTTGTGAGCATACTGTTGTGCGAACCAGATACCAGGATCAGAAACCAACTTTTATTTTATCTCCTTACAGCAGCATGTTTAGCTGCAAGTCCGGGGTAGACATGTTTTAAATTCTATTAAGACAATAGCAAGTTATATAAAGTTTATTAACATTTAGATATCATTTTTCCCAACTCATGACTGCTTCAGTTTCAGATCATCTAATAATCGGTATCAGACGAAGTGCTGAATATCTGTGCTGAATGTGGAAGCATTAACAATTCAAATCAAAACCTGGTCCATGAAACTGCTCAGCCCAGGTCCCCAGCATGGGGTAACATGGGTTAAACACTCTTAAAATGAGATATTGTCAATTCTCCCTCTTCTGCAGTCAAGCTGAATGATTTCACCAGGACAATGCTGTAATTTCACGGTCTCCATCACAGTGCAACAGACTGGCACAGTTGCGTTGGTTTCTTGGATGCCAATTAACTTTCTGGGAAATGTGACAGCACCATGGCTCTGCTGGGAATGTCTCCTCCTTTGTTCTTGAAATTCCGGGCTCGAAATTCCATCTCAATTTCCAGGAAGGACATGTTTTTAGTTTCGGGTAAGATGATGTATATGAACAGTGTCGCCAGGAGGCACTCAGCCAGGAAGATGAGGAAGCAAAACTGCTGCAGCCCCTCCTGCCAAGCAAACCCACACAATAGTGAGCAGACGTGTCATATAAAGTTGGCACATTCAAGGGACACAGGGGAAGCTGACATTGTACTGCCCAGCTATTCAACACACAGAGTCTTGGAATCATAGAGATATACAGCAATGAAACAACCCCTCGGTCCAACACATCTATGCCAACCAGGTATCCTAAATAAATCTAGTCCCATTTGACAGCATTTGGCCCGTATCCCTCTAAACCCTTCCTATTCATGTACCCATCCAGATGTCTTTTAAACGTTGCAATTGTACCAGCCTCCACCACCTCCTCTGGTAGCTCATTCCATACACGCACCACCCTCTGCATGAAAAAGTTGCCCCTTGGGTCCCTTTTATATCTTTCCTCTCTCATCCTAAACCTATGCCCTCTAGTTTTGGATTCCCCCACCCCTGGGAAAACACCTTGACTATTCACCATTTCCAAGCCCCTCAGGATTTTATAAACCTCTATAAGGTTATCTCTCAGCCTCTGACACTCCAGGGAAAATAGCCCCAGCCTCTTCAGCCTTTCCCTATAGCTCAAACCCTCCAACCCTGGCAACATCCTTGTAAATCTTTTCTGAACCCTTCCAAGTTTCACAGCATCCTTCCTATAGCAGGGAGACCAGAATTGCACACAGTATTCCAAAAGTGGTCTAACCAATGTTCTCTACAGCTGCAACATGACCTCCCAACTCCTATACTCAATACACCGACCAATAAAGGGAAGCATACCAAATGAATTTTTCACTATCCTATCTACCTGTGACTCCAGCTTGTTTCCACATCTTCTGTTATAACCCCTGCTCCATCCCCTCATGATCCCTAACCAATCCTGACACAACCCTCTGCCTCATCCCAACAAACCATCCCAGTTCTCCCTCATATCCACCACTCCTTCCTCACCAAAACCGCACCCCCACCATTCCAAATAGACTCACCCACTGTCCCGTCCCATCACACTCCACCCCTGCCCCCCATCCCCATCCCCTGCTATTGTGGGAAGTTGAATCGGTTTCTGTGGGATAACAGCTTTGTTGGGTTTTCCAAGTCTACTGAAGGTACTTACCACAATAACAGGGAACATGATACTGATGAGGAAGAAGCTGATCCAGTTCACAGAGCTACTGATCATGAACGCTGCAGGACGTGTGGACTGTGTGAACAGCTCCCCTGTCACTGTGTTGGTCACACCCCCTGGATCAAGCACAAATACATTAATTAAAAATATTCAGTGCGAAGTGGGTTGTACAGCATCTGCAGTGGTTGGGGGACAACTGTCATTAGTCTGTGGAAGGTCTCTGTTTGGTTAAGGAGCATCAGCGTGTGAACTCTCTGTTAGTTTGTCTAAGTGAGAATGTCCAGCTTGGACAAGATAGAGACTTGGTGATGCATGGGAGTCTTGGAAACATTTCATCACCTGTTTGTGCAATGTTGATGCAGCTTGGGAACCAGGTGGTATGCATAAGAAAATGGGTTCACACCATCAACCTCCTGGTTCAGGGCACAGTTGCAAATTTTGTCAGGCACTCAACAGAGTTCCAACCACCAACATGGAATCTATCAGGGTCATGATCACCTCTGATTAATATTCTAATATTTTCTGTCTATTATGTGTATTTTGGTTTTATTGTTTGCTAAACACATCTAATGACCCTACTCAAGACTCGTCAGGACCTTCATCCCTCAGTTACTTTCACAGCTTAAACCTTGGCTCTGGATTCCAGGTGGAATATGGCTGCTACATCGTATAAACATCCCGCATCCCCCCAACCCCAAACACACACACACACTCTCACATGCATGCACTCTCACGTGCACGCACGCATGGACACATGCGCACATGCACTCTCACGCGCATGCACACATATACATAAGTGCGCACGCACTCTCACATGCACACACACATATACACATACATGGACACACACTCTCACATGCACGCACACATATACACACACACACGCACTCTCGCACGCACTCTCACACGCACACACTCTCGCATGCAGGTACACACACGTACACACACGTTCGCACTCTCATGTGCATGCACACATATACACACATACACGCACTATCACATGCACACACTCTCAAGCGCACGCACACATACACACACATGCACACACTCTCACGTGCACACACATATACACTCACATGCACTCTCACATGCACGCACACATATACACTCACATGCATGCACTCTCACATGCACGCACACATACACACACATGCATGCACTCTCACATGCATGCACTCTACACGCATGCACACATATACACACACACACACTCTCACACGCACGCACACATATACATACACATGCATGCACTCTCATGTACACACACATGTATGCACACACATACATACAAACATGTACACATACACATACATACATATACACACACACATATATGCACACACACACATATATGCACACAAACGCACACACACACACATATATGCACACACACATATATGCACACAAACGCGCGCACACACACACACACACACACACACATATGCACACAAACGTGCACACACACACACACACACACATGCACACAAACGCACACATGCAAAGGCACACACAGTCTGTCTGCCCAGCCTGGTAAATGAGAATTAGCTCTTCACTTGATCTTCCTCCAGCCAGAGCAGCAGCAACTTTAACCAATGGCGCTGCTAAACTGAGACCCCTCAGCACATACAGTCTAAATGCCTAACATTACACTGGTACTGAAATGTATATTATAGCAGATTATACTGATGTGTAAAGAGTAACGTATCTTTTAGAACACTAGTCTTTGCCACCAACGAGCTGCTGCTGTCGAGATAAAAAATATATGCCAAGGTGTAATGGATTGTACATAACACAGCAAGTCCCTGCTGTTGCTCATTACCAGCTAGCACTAACAACCCAACCAGCCTGTACTGTGGAACATGGATAGAGTAAATGGACAAGGTCTTTTCCCCGGGGTGGGGGAGTCCAAAAACTAGAGGGCATAGGTTTAAGGTGAGAGGAGAAAGATTTAAAAGGGGCCTAAGGGGCGACATTTTCACACAGAGGGTGGTGCGTGTATGGAAATGAGCTGCCAGAGGAAGTGGTGGAGGTTGGTACAACATTTAAAAGGCATCTGGATGGGTACATGAATGGGAATGGTTTAGAGGGATATGGGCCAAATGCTGGAAAATGGGACTAGATTTATTTAGGATAGACGAGTTGGACTGAAGGTTCTGTTTCCAGTTGTATAGCTGTATGATTCTATGACTCTAACCAATTTAAGACCTTCAGTCAGGCTTGCAGTGTGGAACACTTGTACCTATGATTTGTTATTTGTAAATTTTCTCACACTAAACAGGAAACAGTCATTCTGTTTCATTTCCCAGGCAATCCATCAACTAATCAGAGTCAAATTGGCTGATTTAAATTTAAACAATGCTTGGCAGTTAACTGTCAGTTATCATCTAAGTGGTGCAGCATAAGAGATTCTTGTGACACAGTGGCTGTATCCCTACCTCTAGGACAAAAGATCTGGATTTCAGTCACATCTGCTCCAGGGATACGTCAACACAATTTCCGAACAAGTTGATTTATAGGTAATTTTAACTGACACATTCTCCATGACAACACTCTCAATTACATTCAATTTGCCAATTGATCAGCACCCTCTTACAGTATAAAATGTTGTTCATCTTTACTCTGGCATTCTTGCAAATGTCCTGATTAGTATAAGATGAAAAACTTCAGCAGAATGAGTCTTTATTCAGCAAAACTCAAGTAAAATTTAAAGATGATTTTGTAGACACTTGGAGACACAGAGATGTAGAATAATGTCCGAAGGGAATAATGCTGAGGCACTGCCCAAAATGATGATATCTGCAGCTCCAGTGGGAAAGCAGCTTTGGATCTTGAAGGATGCAGACTTAACATCTGGGCCTTCCTCAGTCGTAGTAACAATCATCTGCAGACTATGTACAGTCTATTGTAGCAAGGTAACTTGTAGCCAGTTGCTGTTGTGCAATAAACTATAACTTGTTAATACAAGAGCCTTTTCTCATTAGACTGTCAGCTGGCTTTCCTCTTCCACATTAGGCCAAGAATAGATCCTGTTGATCTCTAGTGGGAAACGGCTGAAACCTACCAGATGCCTCTTATACTATGAGCTGTGGTGAGGACCCCTCACACAACAAGAGCCTCTCTACAAACAACCAGAGACCTCAAACAGATCATAGAATGCCCTGCATGGTTCAGCACAAGGCAACAGTGCCCCTTCTAGATGCCAGATATGAAGCGTGAGTGGATTCAGAATATGAAACTGCTGACTTAGCTGCTTTGGTGTCAGAAGGTGTAATTAGAACTGCTGGGGTCTGTTTGTGAACCTTTGTTGACTTGCTCTTCATTGTGAATATACCCACCTGGTCCAAGGCCGAAGCTTAGGATAAATGCAAACAAACAGGTCATTGTCATGTAGGGCATCCAGAAATAGGAAGCCTGAAAACAAACAGAAAACGTCAAAGTTCTACAGGTTTCACAATGGCATTTCTGATTATTTAGAACCAAGTGTTTATGGAGATGATTTTTGAGTGTACCAACTGAACAATTCCAAACTGTACTACTGGTCCCTACATGGGAGTAGGGGCTGAGAGTGTTGGGTGGAGAGAGTAGGGAACAGAATGTTATCAGGGCCTGGGGGGTGGGGGCGGGCACTGCCATCTTGTCTGTATTGACAAAAGGGGAGGGAAAAACCCCAAAAAACTGCAGATGCTGGAAATCAGAAACAAAAACTGAAATTGCTGGAGAAACTCAGCAGATCTGGCAGCATCTGTAGGAAAAAGAAAGCAGAGTTAACGTTTCGGGTCCGGTGATCCTTGTTCAGGACTGATTGCAGCTGGGGAAAGGTTAGTATGTGCGCTGAAGATGAAGTGGGGGGAGTAAACGATGGAGTCCGGAGAGAGAGAGCTACAGCTGGACAAAGGAAAGGTTAAAGGTCAGCCTGGGTGAATCAATAGCTGGTGATGGGGACCATTAGGGACTGATAATGGGATGGCTGTGGTAATCAGTTCTGAAGAAGGGTCACTGGACAAGAAACGTTAACTTCACGAAAGGAGGTACACTGGGAAGGCGGCACTTGAAGACTCTAGCCATTGGCTGTTACTGTACTGTAAAATACAGAGGTTGGAGCAAAGGAGGAATAATGCAGCAATAATGTGCAAAGTGCAATATTTCTGATTACATGTAGAGGGCCAGGCTGAGAGACTTTTACAGTTGCTGTTACTTGCTTGATGAGTGCTTGCAGAACTGAACATAAACCCACTGGGAATCAATGGTCAAAGAGTAAACTCATTGACAGTGAGGTATCTTGAGAAACCAGATGCTCCACAATATTTTATCTCCCATTACAAAGAATATGTAAATCATTGAAAACAAATACCTATGTTTCAATGAGAGATCGTAGAGAACAGTTAATATGTGAGCTAAATATAAGAACTTTACACTGGGTTCTTTCAGCACTTGTGTTACTGCGAAATTTTAGCATTTTGTTAAAGGAACCAAATGGCTTTGCCTATTCACAAAATATTTGCCATCTTCATCCCTCACTATTAGTTTTACAGTCGCTTAGAATGAAAGGGATCTATATCCAGAAAAAGGCCCTTTGGCCCATTGAGTCTGTACTGTTCAAAAACAGCCACCGAACTATTTGAATCCCATTTTCAATCACTTGGCCCATAGTGTTGGATGTCTTGTCATGTCCACATCTAAATACTTCTTCAATGTCATGAGGGCTTCTGCCTCCACCACACTTAAAGACAGAAAGTTCTAGATTCCCACCACCCTCTGGCTAAAACATTTTCCCTTCACATCTCCTCTCAGCCTGTGCCCCTTGCCTTAAATCTACGCCCCCGGTCATTGATCTCTCCACCAAGACAAAAAGTTCTTTCCTGTCTACCCCCACGCGTGCGCCCCTCATAATTTTATACATCTCCATCATGTTTCCTCTCAGTGTCCTTGCTCCAAGCATAACAACACCAATCTACCTTTTTAACCAAAGAGTCTCCAGTCCAAGCACCATCCTGGTAAATCTCAGGATCATGTAAACCCTACAGTACAGAAAGAGGCCATCCAGCCCATTGAGTATGCACTAACTCTCTGAAAAGCATTCTACCCAAACCCAGACCCCCACCCTGTAACTTTGCATTTACCACAATTAATCCACCTAGCCTGCACATCCCTGGACACTATGGGGCAATTTAGCATGGCCAATCTACTTAATCTGCACATCTTTGGACTGTAGGTAGAAACCAGAGCACCCGGAGGAAACCCACACAGACGCGGGGAGAACATGCAAACTCCACACAGTCACCCAAGGCTAGAATCGAAATTGCACTCCCTGTTGCTCCCCTGCTGATTCTTCAATCACTTGCCTAGCTTTGTTACCCAAGCCCAGGACTGGTCCCTCTCTTAGACAGCCTCCTACACACTCGCTTCAAAAAGTCTCCTGGATATACTTTAAGAACTTCACTTCTTTTAACACTTTCACACAATGACTATCCCCATTAATGTAGGGGAAGTTGAAATCCCCCACTATCACTACCCTATTACTGTCACATCTTTCTGAAATCTGTCCACAGATCTGGTCTTCTTTTTCTCCCAGACTGTTCATGGGAATATAGTACAGTCCCAGAAATGCGATTACTCCTTTCTTGCTTTTTAAGTTCTTCTCATACAGCTTCATGTGAGGAGCCTGTGTCATCCCTCCTTACTGCTGTAACTGATTCCCTGATCAATACTGTGACACCCCCTTCCTATTCACCTCCTTCTCTCCTGAAGACCCTATATCCTGGAATATTGAGCTGCCAGTCCTGGCCCTCTCTAACCATGTCTTAGGGATAGCAATTACATCAAGCCTTCATATTTAATTTGTTCCCTCTATTGCTCTACCTTCTTCGTTAGACTCTTAGCATTAAAATAAATACCATCCAACCTTCCCAAACTCTCTTGTGCCTTGAATGGCCTATAATTGTTTCCTTTAATTTATTTGTTCATGGGATGTGGGCATCGCTGGCAAGGCCAATATTCATTGCCCATCCCTAATTGACCAGAGGGCTGTTTAGAGTCAACCACATTGCTGTGGGTCTGGAGTCAGACCAGGTAAGGATGGCACTTTCCTTCCTTAAAGGACATTAGTGATCCAGATGGGTTTTTTTCCTGACATTCAACAATGGATTCATGGTCATCATTAGATTTGTAATTCCATATTTTTATTATAATGTGGAGGTGCCAGTGTTGGATTGGGATGGATAAACACAGAGGTCACACAACACAAGATTTTAGTCCAACAGGTTTATTTGAAATCACAAGTCTTCAGAGCACTGAAGACTTCATCTGATGAAGGAGTAGCGCTCCAAAAGCTACTGATTTCAAATAAACCTCTTGGACTATAACCTGGTGTCGTGTGACTTCAGATTTTTATTGAGTGCAAATTCCACCATCTATCATCATCATGTGATTCAAACCCAGATCTCCAGAACATTACCTGAGTTTCAAAATTAACAGTCTAATGATAATACCAGTAGGCCATCACCTCCCCTATGTTTTCCTTTTTACACATAGAAGAAAACATGTACAACATTTGGTGCTATATGCATTTAACCTTCAGTGTTCTTGAAGTCTCTCAAAGTAATTCATGATTAATGAATTACTTTGGAGGTGCACTCAATGTTATGAAGGACCTTGGACCTTTGACAATATCAAACGTGCTATATGCTAGAAGCAAGTTCTTTTTGTTGTGTGGGTGAACTCAGCAACCAGTTAGTACACAAAGTGATCTCGGAAACAACAGTTCAGTGATTGAGTGCTTACCTTGCTTGGGTGATCTTGGTTCGGGGATAAAGATTGGCTGGGACACGAGGTCAACTCTCTTGCTCCTCTCTAAAGAGTGCAAAGGGATTTTTTCTATCCACCTGTACAAGTGGATCTCAGTGTAATGGCTGATCCAAACAGCTATTTTCAGCTGCTTGCACCATTTCTCTAGGATTTCGCCTGACCTCACACCAAGGTTACAGCAGCAATTGGAATGCTCCTATGGAAATTCACAACAGGCTTCTTTGAGCAAAGTGGGAACATGGCATACACATAACATCACCACCTCCAAGTTCCCCTCCAAGTCAGTCACCAGCCTGACTTGGAAATATATCGCTGTTCCTTCACTGTCACTGGGTCAAGATGCTGGAATCCCCCCCCTAATGGCACTGTGGGTCAACCCAAAGCAGGTGGACTGCAGCGGTTCAAAAAGGCAGCTCACCCCCACCTTCTCAAGGGCAATTAGGGACAGGCAATAAATGCTGGCCCAGCCAGAAATACCCACATCCCACATGTTAAATAAATAATTGTGGCTCTCTGAGATGAACCAGCTTGATTTAAAACCATTCTGCCATAAACTCAGGAGGGCTTTTGAAGCCAGTAGATAGAAAATGTTGGGCCTCATTTTGGAGGAAAAAGCTGGTCAAGTGGTAGGAGGGAGAGCATTTCAGAGGCAGTGACTGTAAGATTTGATGTAGTCATGGGAAAGAAACAAAGATGGAGCAAATATAAAAGTTCTGAATTGGTGACAGGCCAATTGTAATGTGATAAGACAGAATCTGGCCAAAGTGGGCTGGGAGCAGTTACTTGTTGAAAGATCTTTGCCGGGGACTTTTCAAAGACAAAACAGAAGAAGATGCAAGGCCATCCTTTAAAAGGTGAAGAGTGGGACTAACAAGCCCAGAGAGCCCTACACATCGAGGAATATACAGGGTTGGATAAGGACAAAACGGGATGCTCATTGTAAATATCAAGGGCTCAAAACACCAGAAACCCTGGAGGAATATAAAATGTTTGGGGGGTTTACTTAAAAAATAAGTAAGGAAAACAAAGTGGGCAGCATGAATAAACATTGGTGGCAAACTAAAGGAAAATCCACAAAGGCATTTTATATTAGGTGCAAGAAGATAACCGGGAAACATTAGGGACCCGAGTAGGAAGTTATGGGGGAGTCAGAACACATACAATGAGGTTGTCAATGAGTACATTCCATCTGTACTCACTATAGTGAAGGACAATCTAGATATACAAATGGGGGAAGAGGAGTGTGATGTACCTGATCAAATTAGAACTTAGAGGGAGAAAATGTTATCAGTTTTAGCTGAATAAGTCCCCAGGCCAGATGAGGCATATCCTAGGGTTCTGTGGGAGGCATAGGAAGAGATTACAGGGGCCTGACATTAATTTTCAAATCCTCTCTGAACACAGGAGAGGTTCCAAAGGACTGGAGATGCCATTATTCAACAAGAGTGATAAGAACAAATCAGGAACTATAGGTCAATGAGTCTAACATCAGCAATCATGAAATATTGGAAAAATTTCTGAGAAACAATTAATAATCACTTGGAAAGGCAAGGATTAATCACGGAGACTGACCATAGCTTTGTCGGGGGAGATAATGTCGGAGCGGTTTGATTGAATTTTTTCAAGGACGTGACCAAGTGTAAAGATGGGGGTAATGCAGTGGATGTCTTTACATGGACTTCAGCAAAGCTTTTGACAAGGTCTCAAACGGGAGACTGTCAAGGTGGTAAGAGCCCATTTGGCAAAATGGCTCAGAGGCAGGAGGCAGAGGATGGTGATCAAAGTGTTTTAGTGACTGGAAGCCTGTGTCCTGTGGCATAGCACAGGGCTCAGTGCTGGGTCCTTTGCTGTTTGTAGTGTGCATTAATGATCCAGACATGAATGTAGGAGGCATGATTAGTAAGTTTGCAGATGACATGAAAATTGGTGGGATGGTAATTAGCAAGAAAGTATACCTTAGACAACAAAACAGTACAGATGACTTGGTCAGATGGGCAGAACAGTGACAAATGGAATTTAATTCTGAAAAGTATAAGTCCTTTTTGGGAAGTCTAACATGCCAAGTGTGTAATGGGTTCATGTTAGGGTCCTAGAAAGAACGGAGGATCATGGGACCTTGGTGTGTATGCCCAAAGATCCTTGAAAACAGCAGGACAGTTGGAGAAGGTGGTTAAGAGGTATATGGGATACTTGCCTTTATTAATTAAGTGACTGAATACAGAGCTCGGAGGTTATGATATAGCTGTATAGGACATGAGTTAGGCCACAGCTGGAGTACTGTGTGTAGTTCTGCTCGATTCACTATAGGAAGGATGTGATTGTACAAGAGAGGGAGCAGAAGAGATTCACCAGGATGTTGCCTTGTCTGGTGCAATTCAACAATGAAGAAAGACTAGGTAGGGTTGTTTTACTTAGAGCAGAGAAGGCTGAAGTGGGGACCTGACTGAGATGTACAAATCCCTGATGGGCAAAGAGGAAGGATATAGGGAGAATATAGGGTAGAAACATTATTAGAGGGATCAATAACCAATGGGCATGGATTTAAGATGAATGGCGGGAGTACTCCTGCCTGGCTACCAGGTTGACGGCCCATGACAGTGTACTTAACACGAAGGACTGTAAAGTTGAACACTTCTTCTTTATTTACTTATTTTTCTGCCTTTATATTCTATGTTTTGGTTTATTTTTCTGAGTTTTAAGATGGTGCCAGAGGGTGGCGACACTATACAACACTTTTCACCGTATTAAGAGCCAAATATACATGACAATAAATAAATAAGTAAATAAATAAATAGAAAATCAAGTTGTAGAGGGGATTTAAGGAAGACATTTTCCATCCAGAGGGCAGTCTGGATCTCACTGCCTCAAGCAATAGAGACAAAGGCCTTTCCAACATTTGAGTAGTATTTAGATGGTCACTTGAAATGCCACTGCATTCAAAGCTAGGGGCCAAATGCTGGCAAATGGGACTAGAGTAGCTAGGTGGTTAATGAATGGCATGGATGCGATAAGCTGAAGGGCCTGTTTTGTAATACTCTTTGACTCTAACTTGATACATGACCCAGAGTGGGAACGGTATCAAATTGACTAGTTTTTGAAAGCTCCCCTCCAATTTTCAAATGAACAGAAATGTCAACAACTCTAGTTCCAGGGAGCCAACATTTCCTACTAAACGAACCGCTGCACAGATTTAACCACTAACTGACTTATGATGCTATTTCTAAAAATTTATTCAGTCATTTTTGGAATTTGAGCAATTGTGGCAAGACCAGCAATTGTTGTTCATCTCCAATTGATCTTCTTGATCTGCTGTACTCCGTGGTGTGTAGCACCGTTCCCTGTGCTGTTAAGGAGGGAGGTCCAGGATTTTGACCAAGTGACAGTGGAGGCATGGTTCCATGTCACTATGATGTGTCACTTGCATGTCGGTACAGATGTTCCCATGCATCTGCTGCCCTTGTCATGGATGGCAGAGGTCCTGGGTTCGGAAAGTGTTTTGGAAGAAGTCTTGGTGAATTAATACAGTGCACCTTGCTGCTCCTGAGCTTGAGCAGAGGAGGGTGGGAATGGTGAAGGTGGTGGATGTGGTGACAATTAAGTGGAATCACTGGATAGTGCCCAGCTTCTTGAGTGTTGTTGGGGCTGCTCCCATCCAGGCAAGTGGGGAGTATTCCATTACACTCCTGACTTGTGCCTTATAGATGGTGGACAGGCTTTGGGAAGTCTGGTACTGAATTACTTGCAGAGAGGTCTTCCTTTATACCAGCCATTAAAACTAACACATTTTCATTTCTAAAACTAACCGTCTTTTTAGTTATAATATCAAAGAAGGGCAAACAATTCAACTGTCCCATGCCACAGGCACAAAAAGACTCTGCAGCTGTGTTTGCTGTCCATCTATTGACTTTAACAGACACAAAAATTACAGGCCTCTATTCATCTCAGTGATGCACAGCAGAATTTGTATTCTCAAATTTTGAACCTACATCTCCTTGAATAGTTAAATGTCACTTTGCCTTGTCTCTTTGACATTAGTTCAAGCTGATAGATGAGAATGATTGAGCCATCTTGCCTGATAGGTCAGTGTGATAGTCACTGCAGCACAGCACAAAGCCATGAGTGAATATCCACCGACGATAAGCATTCGCCTTCCGAGGCGTTCAATCAGAAGACTCTAGAAAGTAATGACACTATTAGCACCATTTCAGACATTGTAAGAGGAAGAATTACACAAACTTATACTGGTTCACATAATGACCAACAATATCCAGTGAAAAAAAATCAAACTGAATTGTGTAGAAGAAGTTGCATCATCACTGAAGTAGTCTGCATGACCATCTCTGATGTAATAGGAACTGCTGTGGCTCTCAATAACATCACCTCCAGCCACTAAACATAACTCACTTCTTCCAGTCCCCATTGTCAGACCTTAAACAGGGTAATTTGCGATGTGTAAAATTTGATGCATTTCTCATTCCCAGGTTTGATGGATAGTGTACCATGCTTTTTGAGGGGGAGTTTGGAGTCCTCCTGTGATATGTATATCAATGGTGCTTGGAACTTATGTTGATAAGGAAATGCCCCTGTTCTGCTATAATTCTGCAATTTGCATTCCTGACCAATTGAGATGTGGGCTCACAGTGACTGGAGTGTGCAATTGCTGGGAGAAGATTACTGAGGTTGGATTTTTGAAAACAGGCCAGAGTCCAGGTCAGAAATGAATGGGGACACAATTTAACTCCATCAGCCGCCATGCCCATTCCCGACCACAGTTTTGGCCCCCAGCCATTTTTAAAGCGGCTCATTTCAGATGGTCGTTAGCAAATGACAGGTAGCCGATTGAGGTTAATTCAGTTACCATACCAACAGTGACATCTAATCAGCAATATGGGCAGGCCACATTAATCTGGGCCATTGTGTAGGGCTTAGATAGGAATTGGGGATGGAAGGAGGGCCCTGATAGATCAGGGGAGGTGCCACAGTTACAACTGTGGGTCCCCTGAATCTTGGCCAGGTAGCTTCCTGCCCTATCTGCCAGTCTGAGCATTGGAGGTGCTACCCATGTCCTCCAGCCTCAAACGCCCTCACACCATTTCTGAAGGAGCAGTGAGCTTGCTCCTTAGCTGAAGTATTGAACATTGAGTTCATGCTGTGGCGCCACTCTGTCCAGCCAAATGAGCTGACCCCTGCCTTTACACCACAATGTATTAACTTGTTTAGTACAGTGAACTGCCATGTGAACTGAATGATATCTTTAGGAATAATATTTTGGAGTAAAGGGTTTAAAAATGGGCATCCTGTTGTACAGTATCTTAAATTAGAGGGAATTGGGAATATTACATGATGAAACAAAGGATAACCAATGTTAACAGCTCAGTCAATAGCACTGATAAACAGTAGCTACACTTGTTCTATTCCCATACCCTTTACCCACTTCACTTTGGTCATATCTCAAACCTATTTATGTATTGACATGATTTCTGCTTCAGTGACTGCAGCTACTCTAACAGTGTGAGAGCCAGACTATTTTCTTTTCCCCAAAATCTCTTAAATTTAACCTTGATTGCAGATATTCCTTTGGTATGCGTCGCTTAAAATCACTAGGAGTCAGGTCTCATACCACCATAAATTTTAAACATTTTTGATCGGCTCATTTAAACCCAGGTGCCATGATGAAAGCTCAAGAGTTCAAACAGGTAGTACATATTATTGCCTTACTGATAGTCTGGGGCCCCACATTAACATGGCAGTTACAGCCTGCGACTCAGTCATCTGTCTCGGACCACAATGTTTTCATTCTGCAAATGAAGCCACCCAGTACGCGTTAATTCGGTGGGATCCATCCAACAAGAAAAACAACAGGATCCAGTCTGCCTTCCAATAGATTTATTCACAATATGCAGCACAGCAGAAGTATACACTGTCACTTTCCCCTTCCACAGGTCAGGCTGACCATGCGGAAACTAGCTCTTATACTTTAAAGAAAAACATCAGTCATGACAACACCTGCATTGCAGGTGGGACTTCATCCCAGGCTTTTTAACCCAGAGCTAGGGACACTACCCTTTGTTCCACATGACCCTAATATTCCGGTCTCCCTGCTATAGGAAAGACTTTGTGAAACTTAAAAGGGTGCAGAAAAGATTTACGAGGATGTTGCTGGGGTTGGAGGGTTTGAGCTATAGGGAGAGGTTGATTAGGCTGGGGCTGTTTTCCCTGGAGCGTTGAAGGCTGAGGGGTGACCTTATGGAAGGGACATAAATGGGTGAATAGCCAAGTCTTTTTCCCAGGATAGGGGAGTCCAAAACTAGATGGCATAGGTTTAAGGTGAGAGGGGAAAGATAAAAGGGACCTAACAGGCAACATTTTCTCATAGAGGGTGGTACATGTATGGAATGAGCTGCCAGAGGAAGTGGTGGAGGCTGGTACAATTACAACATTTAAAAGGTCAGATGGGGACATCAATAGGAAGCATTTAGAGGGATATGGGCTAAATGCTGGCACATGGGACTAGTTTAATTTAGGATATCTGGTCGACAGGGACGAGTTGGACCAAAGGGTCTGTTCCCATGCTGTACATCTCTATGACACTATCTTTCACCAGCTTAAATTTGTTTGCACATAATGGCACACCTCTGGGGCAGGAGGGATTTGAACTCAGATCTTCCGCTAGGTATACCGCCACAGCACGACTAGACCCTCACCTACTGAGTCCTATCATTCGTTGTAATCAGCCTATTCAAACATGTTCTAACACACCTCTGGTGGGACTTGAACCCAGACCACCTGGCCCAGAGGCAGGGACAGAGCCACCACACCACATAGCTTTGTAATGCACCCCACCCTTTCTTCAATTGGTATAAGCCGCTCCAAATCACAAGTGCACAGTCTCAACTGACCTACCATTTGCAAACACTGGCACTTTGAGCACAGCCACCTACTTTCAAGAAGAAAACTCAAACGCAGCTGTTTAATTGTTTGGTCGATTTTATACAGCCACCTCTTTTATTTATCTTAGAGCCCACAGACTGGAAATTGTAGGGAGACACATGAAATATTGGACCTGGTATTAGTGGGATCAAACCTGAACACCAGGCACCAGCTTTGATATAACACAGTTTCACCTAGAATATCGTTTTGTGCTACAGTCCCCATTGACTATATATTAGTGGGATCCCTGTGTTCTCTGATTTAAATGAGGGATTTGGAGATGAGATAAACCATGAAAACAGCCCCATTGTTTTCTGCTTGACCAGCTGTCATTTGATGGGTTTGCACTTACACAGCATAGGGCTGAGAAACATTCACACACCCCAGTGCCCATTGTAACATATGGGATATAAGCTTCTGCAATTCCAGCTTCAGTAAAGACATCGGTGGCATAGAAGTAGATCTGAAACAGAAAATTCCTTCATTTAAATTGTAAGTGGATAAGCAACAGCACTGAACACAGACACACCATTGATTGATAACAACGTTCAGACGTTTTTAACATAAGTTTCTACCCATCTGGTGCTCATTCGAATTTTGGGTCAGATTTTGTACACCAAGAACGCTGGCCTGCTTGTGGTTAGTTATTGTACTGGTCCTAACTCATGAAACAGCTCACTGAGGTTTCTTCATCAACGCCTTCTAAACCTGAAACCTCTACCACCTAGAAGGGCAACAGATGCATAGGAATATCGCCACCTTTGAGCTCCCCTCTCCAAACCACACAACATCCTGACTTGGAACCATTTCACTGTTCATTCACTGTTGCTGGGTCCTTAACATTCATACACCCACATGGACTGCAGTGGTTCATGAAGGCAGCTCACCACCACGTTCTCAAGGGCAAGTAAGAAGCAGCAATAAGTACTGGCCCATCAGTGATGCTCACATCATTTACATAGTGGACCCCACAGTGGCCAAGTATTTACACTCACCAGTTATCAACCTGCCCACAAAGAATGGCCTATTTTCTGGTGTGTACTGCGTGGATTTGAACTGAAAGGGCTTAACATCATTTTAAAGATGATTTTTGAACCTCTTTCCTCTATTCTAATCGGTTGGTTAGGAATTTGTGCTAAATGCTTGGTGGCCCACAACAACTGGAGAGTGGGAATCCTCCTCTCCTTACCATCAGTTCTTATAAAGCTCGAGGTGGAGCACTGAAAGGATGGCAGACAAGCCAGGTCTCCCTAGTGGTAAATGCAGGTTCCAAGGGGAGGCTCAGTGGTTAGCACTGCTGCCTCACAGCACCAGGGTCCTGGGTTTGATTCCACCCCCGAGCAACTGTGTGTGTGGAGTTTGCACGTTCTCCCCGTGTCTGTGTGGGGTTCCTCCAGGTGCTCCGATTTCCTCCCACAGTCCAAAGATGTGCAGGTTAGGTGGATTGGCCATGCTAAACTGCCCATAGTGTCCAGGGATGTGCAGGCTAGATGGATTACGAGGGGTAATGGAATAGGGTTGGGGGGTCTGGGTCTGAGTTGGTGAACAGGGACAGGGAGGACACAGAAGAGAGTGTGAGAGATCCACTGTCCTGTGTTCAGCACTCATGAAGCATTCTCATCTGTCCCAGTTATACACTTTCCTCATCTAATTAACCAAAGTTTCAAATCTAAACTGCTACTTCTTAACAAGCTCAATGAGCTATAAGAAATTTGCCACAAATTGTTAATTTGTGTGCATTAGGTAACTGTGATTACAAACTCCCCAAAAATCAATGCAGTTTTTACTTTGTTAGTTGTTGACTGCTAAACTAAAATACTTGAAATCCTAACTCAAGCGTTAGTTATTTCTTTGAAGTGTTGTTCTTTCCCCTCCTGGAAATTATTAAGTTGCTTTAATGAAGCGAGACTCAAACCTTAAGGCAAAAAAATCATTAAAATAGGTCATGGAAATGTGCAATTATTTGATAGCCTCTGGGTTTCAGTGATGCTAAGGAAGTGGGGTGCTAGTAAGGATTTCCCAGGGTATGTGCATGTGTGGTGTGTGTGAGCATGTGTGTGTATATGACAGAGATTATTTCCACTGGCTCCCTTCACTTGCATCAGGGAAATAGCCAATTACATCAGACACAGCAAATACTAAAGTGAAGGTAAAGAAAACCCAGGCATCAGGCTTTTTCACTCTCTAAGCCAGGATGCTCTATCATAATTCCAGCAACCTGAAAATCTGGAGGGTCACTGAGAGAAATGAAGTAACTAGCTGAGCTGTTTACAGTTTGCTCCTAATGATTGGCTGAGGGACAGTATTCAAAATCTGTGTGGAGAGAAAAAGAGCTAACATTCCAGGTCAATGACCTTTCATCAGAATGTGAAACCTGAATGAACTCTTGTTTCTCTTTCTGTAAAGCCTGCCTGACTAATGGGTAGATATGTCTTCCTGCCCCTCATCAGGTATATTCTTGACTAAGGGTAGGTCGTGGGGATCGCTGGCTGGGGCAGTATTTACTACCAATTCATTGATGCCTTGAGAAGGTAGTAGCGAGCTGTTTCCTTCTTCAACTGCCCATTTTTTCCAGGTAGATGCACAATTCTCTTGGGGGGGACCGAGTTTCAGGATTTTGACCCAGCAACAGTAAAGGAATGGCAATATATAATCAGGATGGTGAGTGGCTTGGAGGGGAACTTGCAGGGGGTTGTGCTACCATGTATCTGCTGTCCTTGTTCTTCTAGATGGAAGTGGTCATGGGTTTGGAAGGTGCTGTCTGAAGATCTGTGGTGCATTTCTGTGGGGCATCTTGTAGATAGTACACACTGCTACTACTGAGCATTGGTGGTGGAGGGAGTGGATGTTTGTGAACCTGGTGCCAATCAAGTGAGTTGCTTTGTCCTGGATGGTGTCAATCTTCTCAAGTGTTGTTGGGGCTGTATCCATCCAGACAAGTGGGGAGTACTCCATCACACTCCTGACTTGTGCCTTGTACATGGTGGACAGGCTTTGGGGACTCAGGAGGTGAGTTACTGGCCACAAGGATTCCTTGCATCTGAGCTCCTTTTGTAACCACAGTATTTATATGACTTATTAAGCTTCTGATCATCAGCAACCTCCAGGATGTTGATAATGGAGAATTCATTGATAGTAAAACATTGTTGATGTTAAGGGGTGATAGTTAGATTGTCTCCTATTGAAGACGGTCATAGCCTGGCATTTGTGTGGTGTGAATGCCACTTGCCACTTGTCAGTCCAAGCCTGGATATTGTCTAGATCTTGTTGCATTTGAACATGGACCAATTCAGTATTTGATCGGTTGTGAATGGTGCTGAACATTGTGCAATCATTGGCAAACATCCCCACTTCTGACCTTTATGATGGAGGGAAGGTCATTGATGAAGCAACTGAAGATGGTTGGGCCTAGGACACTACCCTGAGAAATTCCTGCAGAGATGTCCTGAGCTGAAATAACTGACCTTCAACAACCGCAACCATCTTCCTATGTGTCAGGTAAGACTCCAACCATACAGCATAACATAATAAATGTGAAATGTTAAAGAGATAGTAGGAACTGC